CGGGGGGAGGGCCCCCGGGACGGAGGCGTGCACGGGAAAAAGCCGAGCAGGGCGGGGCCGCCGCCGCAGCGCCCACCAGGCCGGACGCACACAGGCGGCGCAGCGATGCAAAGGTGCCATCGTGCAGAATGTCGATGCGCTCGCCCGAGAGCAAATCCACCGGTTGAAAACACATTCGGCCAAGTGCTGCCATCGATTGGGTAACCGGAGATGCAGCCCCAGCGAACAAATCCAGGAAAAGCCGGGCTGGGGGAACACGCACGGGCTGTGTGCACGACTCAGAGGGAGCAGAGGGCGGAGCAGGTTTGGGAGGAACACCGGGCACAGCACGCGTGGAGGACGGCGTCACGCCGGCACTGGCAGAGCAGAGGCAGGCAGCACAAGCACCGCCGGCGGCGCCGAAGGTAGTCAATGCGGGGCGGCCGCGTGATCGAGGGCCGTGTGGGGCTGACCGCACGGCTTGCTGACCGGACACACGTGCGCATACTTGCAGTTGGGGTTCGCGCACTTGCCAATAGCGTGTTTCATGCACACGTCAGCGCCGTCCACGACGCGCGCCCAGGATGGGTCGAAGCCGGGGATCGGACCGGGTTTGGAAGGAGCAGCCTTGCCTTTGGCTTTGGCCTTGCCTTTAGGTGCAGCCTTGGGGATGCACAGGGTGCTGCCCGTCCGGGTTGGTGCGCTTGCGCGGGTTAGGCTTGCCGGGAGAAGCGGGGCAGGACGGCAGCTGAGGCGCACGGGCCGGCTTCGGACGGGGTTGCAGCAGTGGGGCCATGTCGTGGCGGCAAAAACCGACTTCATTCAGGCTGTCAGTAAGAGACCAGGCCTGGTCACGGACAAGAGCGGAGACAGTCATCCAGACCGCGCGGTCAGCGTGGACCACCTCCTGCAGGACAGGGGCACGGAGGGTAGTGTCCGACGGCGGAGTGGTGGCCATTGTGAAGAACTTATCGCTGAACCTTTTAATAGTGGCTAAGTGAACCAGGTCCAACAAGGCCAAGGCTGCGGCGAAAAGGTCCAGACAGCGCCGGAGAACGGACTCGGAGGGGCCGGTGAGGCTAAAACCAAGGGTCGGCCCAGCAGCTTCATCCGGCAAGTCCAGAAGGGAACGAAGCATTTGGCGATCAGATCTGGGGCGGCGGGATTCCTCCCAACGCAGAAAATCGGCTTCAGAGGTGCGTTGACGCCAGGAATCCAAACGGACTGGCCGGACTCATGGTGCTGACGGATCAACGACAAAAACTCAACGGACGGAGTATTAGCGGGTGTCAGCAGCTCGCCCGGATACTTCTTGAGGTAGTCCTTGCGAAGGGAAAGGAACTCGGCCGCCGTAATTTTATTCGAGGTCGAGGCAGATGGGGCAGCAGGAGGCAGTTGCGACGGTGCATTGGCCGACGCAGCCCGGGGAGGTGCAATAGAGCAGGCCTCGAGGATGGTGCGACGGAGGCAGGACACATCGGGACGGAAAGTGGCCGTCGCATCGCCATCAGGTATCTTGAGAATGACCCGGATGAACTTCATGACCTCATCAGGATCGGACGGGTCGGTGAGGGCAAAGGCCAACGAGCCCAGTGTGTGAAATCCAGCACTTTTGACGGCAGCCGCCAAAGTATCCGGGGCAGAGATTGAAGACAAAAAGTCAGCGAGGGCAGAAGGGTCGTCCAAACGCGACGCTGGGGGCATGATGCCAAAGTCCAAAGCAGCACAGTCTACCTGAACAGTGAGCAAAATGGCTGCGGACAGGACGAAGCGCACATGAAGGAGTGAGACATGCAACGGTGAAGCAAGGCACGCGCTCACTTCTTTTCACAGCGGACGGAGCACACGTACCTCAGGTCAGCCTCGGAGGCGATGACAGACACGGCAGAAGTGGTTGCGGTGCCCGCGCCCGTACACTGGACGGCCGCATTGGTTGAAACAACCCGGCGTCGGACACTGTACAAGGCATGGGGGCGGGTAAACCACAGTCGGGCGGGCAGGCGGAAAAGACGAATTTTTCGCCTGCGCCTTTGGCGCAACAGCATCCGGCGAGACTGCCAGGGGAACCCTAGCTCGTCCAGCGGAGTGGGCGGAGCATGCACCTTTGGCTCGGCCGGAGCCGGGCTCGCCGGCGGAAAAGATGACTTTGGCTTGGCCGGAGCCGGGCTCGCCGGCGGGAAAGATGATGCCGAAGCTTTAGGCCCAGAAGGCGTGCCCATCCGCATGCACAAATGAACAATGCGGTCGCGAGTGTCAGGACGGAGACGGGATAGTTGGTCCACCAGCTCAGATCCTGTGCTGACATCCCCCACGGTGGCCCAGGAGCCCGGACCGGTCGAGTGACTCTGCACGGAAGAGGCATAAGTGGGCGATGGGTCATCCGATTCCGCAGGGCGGAGCGACGGGGTCGGCTCCGGGCCTGGTTCGGACACGGCTGCGGCGCGCTGCATAAAATAGCGGCCGGGTGGGTCGAAGCCACCGGAGCCCGATGCATTGCCCTCAAACGCCATGACGATGAGAGACGGGGGCAAGCAAATGTAGCACAAAATCCCAAAAAACGGCTGCGGACACACATGCGCTCATGACAGAAAGCATGACGCTATAGGGGCCTGAATCTGCGCTAACAAGAAACGGACGGCGGAAACAGCTCGCTGGCTTCTTTTCACTGACTCGCGACGCTGAATCAGTCTAGCTGCGACAAACGGGAAAAGCAGGCGCCGCGCAGGCACAAAACCGAACCAGCAGGCGGACCAGACAGCAGGGGTCCGGAGACCATCTGGCGAGTCTGCGCCCCACAGGCTGGTCGGACATGCACAGCGGAACCGTCCTGTCGCAGCATACGGATTGAACGGAGAGCATCCGGGGCACAAGTCTGAGCAAAGTGCACAACGTTGCTGCGCGGATTATGCATAAGCCAGGGGGCGGAGGATGCAGCCTTGATGGCCACTTTTTCGACCAAGTCGGCCTCCCAATCCTCGGCCTCGTCCTCATCTGCGGGCGGAGCTTCAGACTCCTCCGAAGACAGTGACACAAGATCATCCTCGGCCGAAGGAACCGGGAGCACCGGAATTGTCGGGAGGGGAGGAGGAGGATCTGCTGGCACGGGAGGGCTTGCAGCGGGTGGCGAGACAGGGGCGTCGGGGAGGCAGTCAGGCGGCAAAGCAGCCGAATCCAAAGACGGCAGCGTTCCAGAAGGAAGAACCACAGGGAAATCTGCAACGGGTGCCTCAAGACCACGGCCAACGGGTTGCAAAGGACGGAAGCCGTTGCGGAAGGCCGCCACCACACGAGCTTGTAAACGGACCGTGGGGATGATATCATCACGGGAGTAAAGGGCCACGGAACGGTCGGCCCCAGAAAGTCGATGATGCCCCTGGATGCGACGGGCATCGGACTCAACGGAGAGCTGGCGGGCCCAACTCAGCATAGTTGCCTTAAGGGACTGTGCAGCCACCAAAGAGAACACGGACGGGAGAGGCTCACGGGAATGCAAAGACCAGTGCTGACTGAGCAAGTCCCGAAGCCAGGGAACGAAACTGTCGCGGTCCCAAGGCTCGGAAATGAGTGGACGGCTCTCGCTGCCGGACAGGACGGCCGGCAAAAAATCCAAAGTGCGCGTAGGCTGCAGAGCCAGTGTGTCGGACACCGACTGGCGTAGGCACGATAGGAAACGGAGCGCCCATGAAGAAGCAGAGGATCCCAGGAAGCCGTGCACCAGAAGCCCCCACGGCATACTTCGTTTTGTCGTTTTCGGACATTTGATATTGCAGTCGGGCGGGGGGGACCCAAATGGAGTCCCCCCAGCGAAGGGAAGCCCAAACGCAGACAAGCACAAACCCGAGACGGAGAACTTGAGCCGGCGAGGTGTTCGGATCAAGCACGGACTGCTCCAGCCACACCACAAAGGACAAGCTGAGCGGCAAGCTCTCGCGGCGCTCGGACGGGGCGGAGGCAACGGCGAAGGCCCGGCACAACGGAGATGACAGAGAGTCACGCAGAGAAGGCAAGCCGGCCGTTTTGCACATCCAAGCCAAGGCCTTCAGGGGGGCGGTTGCCAGGCCCTGGGCGCTGGCACGAGACGCAATCCAGTCGGGAAGAAACCCAGGAGGCGGGGAAGCCGGGTGAAACCCCGCAAGTTCACAGTGACGGGACCAGGAAGACCATTGGTCAAAGTAGCGCTCCAAGGTGGAGGGCGCGAACTTGGCGATCGCACGGGACATGTGAGCCACCGGGTTAGAGGAGGCCTGGCAGTCAACAAAAAGTGCGGATGCGGAAGCCAGCGCACACAGAATGGCAAACCAGCACGCGGACAGTGCACGCATGGCCAGCTGGAGTAGAAACGGCAGGGAAATGCACAGAAGCAGGAGAAACAGGTTGCAGCTGAGGCCCCGGGTACTGGCAAGACGCCGAAGCCGAAGGCAGGCGCGCAACAAATGCGCCGGCATGGTACCCCGAGGGAGAGACGGAGCTGGAAGTGCCGAGGAAACAGACGGCGGTGAGAATGAGAAGGTCGAGGAGGAGACAGGGGTGTGCAAGGACACGGGAGACAACGATGTGCATGGGCGGGCCTCCTCGAAGCCACGCGGGCGATAAGCAGAGTTGGGCCGACCATCGGCCCACCGCCGAGGGCAAGCAGCAGGACCCGGAGCGGGAGCCGCAAACACAGGTAGACAGGCGGCTCGAGGCACAAGTGTGCGAGGCGCAGCAGCCGCCGGAGCCGGTCGGGCACGCAGAGGATCCAAAGGGGCGGTCGAAGAGACGACCTCGAAGCCGCTCACAGAGGAAGAGCCAGGTTGAGAAGGCGGAGTGTCAACCAGAGGCTGAGAAGGAGAAGGCGAACGCAACGCATCGTCAAGCCAGGATGCAGAGTCACGGCCGCATTGCAATGGCGAGTGCACACAACCATCCGGACGCGGGGCACGGACGGATGACTGCAAACGGACATCGGAACTGACGGCAAAGGAGCCTGCCTGCAAAACTTCGCGCAGCTTCACGGCAGCATCACTAGGCCTCAGAGACGGCGATCCCAACCTGGACGGCGAAGGCGGTCGGTGGCAGTCCTGACAGCAGGCACAGATAGATAAGTTCAAGCACAGCAACCGCAAATGCAAAAGGAACCGAGCTCGCACGACACATTTTCGAGCGGAAGATGCGGTCGGGCGGAGATCAGTGGCCCTTAAGGCAGTTAACGCAGGTGTGCTGCTCATGCGGGGCCCTTTCGCCGAACATGACCGGGCGGAGGCATAGCCCCACGCAACGGAAGCCGTGGGTGTTGGAGGCATTCCGGTCGCATACATCGCACCGGAAGATGTGCAACGGGCTGGGGCGGAATCTGTCGCTCAAGCCAACTCGGGTGGTCGGCCGGGCGGATGCAGAACAAGTCCGCGTACGGCCAGTAGCCCGGGCGGCGAATTGTTTGCGGAGAGAGCGGTAAATGCGAGCAAACACGGATCTTCCACCCTTCACGGTTGGACCACGGACCATTGTCAGCCATAGCGCGCGGGAGGGGCGGAGCGACATCCACCCACTCATAGGTGTCCGGGGCCAGGTCGGACGGGTCAAGCTGGCGTAGCCATGCTGGGTTCCAGTGCTCTTGGTTGCCCAGGTTAGGCAGCGGCCCGCCTTCAGCATAGCCAGAACGGCGCATGACCTCGGGCGGGGGAACCTCTGGCACCGTCGTCGGGGCGGGCGGACCATCGTCACCCACCGCCAGCGGGCGGACCAGTCATGTTGGTGTCCGGGACCGTGGCCGGGGCCGGCTGCTCCACGTCGACGTCGGGCGGAGGGTTCTGGAACCGTAACGGTGTGAGGCCGAGACGGTCGGCAAAAGCGGAGCCGATGAGGTCATGGAACCTCATCAAATCCTCCGGAATCAGATCACGGAGAGCCGGCCAGAGGGTCTCGTCCGGGAAGGAAAGCAGCTCCGCGAGCACGTCGGAGACGGGCGGCAAAACAGCATGTCCCGGACACGGTGCCGCCACGGCTGGGGACGGGACGGACGGGCCGGGGCCAGTCGACGCCGCCGCAGCACAAGAAGCAGGACCGGTGGCCATGGTGCAGCGCAGAAGCACAAAAGAGCTGAAGGATCGCTAAGGATGCTTGAGAGAGCAGCTGCGGAAGGCCGGTCAAAGCTGAAGCAGCCAAGACGGCAGGCAGCGCAAGAAGAACCAACGAGCAAGGTGCAAAGTCGGTCCTCGGGCGGCATAGCGGGCGATCGTTCACCTGGCTTGTCTAAGTCTATGCTTTTT